GGGACCCTAACAGGTGCTACCACCCTAGGTCAGGGTGAACCTGGGAACATCAGCAATTAAGAGGTGGTTCCACGCTCCTCAAAACCTATCAGAGGCCTTGCTATTGGACATGGTTTATAGTCTTACCCAGGATGGCACATACACGTGAATAAATCAGATTTCTTTTCATTTTAACAAACAAGGACTGTAAAAACTTTAACACTAAGAAATGTTTAGTTGTAAAAAAAAAAAAGATTATATTTTTCATTTTGAAAACCTTTTGTCTTTGTTGTGGGTTGATTCAAATCCACAACACAAGTAATGAATCAAACTCACATGAAGAATACAATGCAAAACATAATGTACACACCGAGACAATTTTATTGTGAAAGACATTTTTCCACAAAATAAAACAAAACAATAGAAAAGATTATTACAATGGACTCTCACTACTAGCAGAAAAAAAATATATTGAAAGAGCTATAAGCTTTTAAACTTACAATTTTTCTTTTCAATTTTTGATTGCTTAAAAAAAAATGAATAAGAAAAAAAAAAGTGAAAGAAACAGTGAATTTCTATTAATGGTCTGATTTTGTAGACTCTCCCCCTTCAATCATCCCCAACTGAATTACTTCTTTTATCTTGTCCTTAAATGTAAGAAGGGAGCTGTAACAAATGATTGTATCTACTTGAAGCCGAAGGGAAGTAACCTCTATCTTAGTAGATATCAATTTAGAAAGGTTTACACTATCCGAAGACAACATTTTCCAGATATGGAACTCAGTAATAATCAACCCTGGTTCTCTATTCTTCTCTACTGCAATACTGTTTTTATTTAAAACATCTACAAGAAGGTGAAGATCAGAACTGATAGAAAGTGTTTGATATCGACAGATTTCAGCAAAAGGTGGGTGAAAGTAGTGAGCTTGGTTTGTATAAAAGATGCTAGTCTTGAGTTTTTTTTTGAGTCCTCTTGGTCACAATGGGGGAGGGGGCTTCTTGTGAACCCTCCCCCTGGTTAATTTAGACTGTTTTATGTTTTCTTAGTTAAAGTGTTGTTCCTGGCATGTCCCTGGCATTCTCTTTTGTTATGATCCAGGTTGAGATTCCCAGTTTGTTTTTGGTCCCCTTTTTTCATCTCGGCTGGGCCAGACTATTTTTCCCCACTCTACTGTTTATTTTTCCTTCCCCACTCCATTAGTGAGTATGCTGCTTGATTCTGTCTATCGACAGAATACAGAAGCCACTGATTATTTTGAGGGATGGATGGGTCTTACTAATATCTGTTTTGTTTTAGTTTTTGTTTTGTTTTAAATTTTTGGTTAGTTTACCAGGTTCAACAAGCTCATTTCATGTTTCATGAAATTTTTCTATTTAAACATTTTTGAGATTTTTTATATCATGGGGTGTTTTTTTGTAGGCTCCCTCTGTGAATATTGTGGTATATGCAGGATTGAATGGTAATGGATGAGTTCTTTTGGTAAACATATAAATTGTATCGAATGAATGGGTCATGATCAACTAGGACTAGGACAGTTAGCAAAGACAAAACTTTTCCCCCACTTCCCCTTTGGCCTTGTGCCAAAATTATTGTAATTTTATACAATAATAAATATATTTTATTTAAAGCATCTGCAAATATACCCAGGGACAAACAAAAATATCATAGCAACAGGTGCAAGGCTGCAAGAAGAGGCATAGAATGTAATAATATTGCAGAATGCTATAGTTCGCAAGTACAGGCCTATTTGTATTTGATCTAAGAAGGTTGCGTGAATGTTTTAAATGTCCATCTATATTTCTGAGAGGAGGTATTATGTACACTATTTACATTATTCAGACTATTGTCCTCATCTTTGTCGTCATATTTATTACAACACATGGCACAGTGGATAAAGGCGTTGGTTAGATCCAGTGACAGGAACCAGTGTGAGTTCAATACCTGGTTAAGGCGGTGGAGAACTTGGAGAGGAGAATTAACAGGAAATAACTGATAGCCATTAAAATCATGGCACATGGAGCTAGAACAGTCTACCCCAGTGAGCGAAATAAAGGGTTCAGTTCGACATTCCAACCATCTGAAGAAGTCCGGAGTGTAAAACGGCCGAAATGTGATAAATATGGCAACAAAGATGAGGACAATAGTCCAAATAATGTAAATAGTGTGTTTTAAATGTTTCGCTGAAAATGAAACATGCAATATCCACAAACATAAAAAAGGGTCAAATGGTAACGATATTCAATTATAACAAAGGATAGCTTTGGGAGAACAAATATATTTTTTATATGCAGAAAATTTCAATTTTGTTTTGTAAAGATGTGTACAAAAGTTTGATCTGAGTATTTTTAAACAGAAAAGTTCTTGTTGCTTGTTTGGAAATGTTTTGTATGTTTGTAATGTAATTTGGAAAATTTCATACATATGTGCATGTATGAATATGTTTACATGGCATTTGACCATAAATGGTCAAGATGCAAATCCTTTAAGGTTACATTTTCGTAGGCGAATGAAATCAAGAAAGAGAGAACGAACTCGTGCCCATTATTTATAACTAATGTAACCATGTGACAGGATTGTGAAAAAAGAGCGGGAAAACTTGACTTGGAAAAAAGACTTGTATGAGTGGATTGCAACACCCACTTGTGTGTTTATTGACCAATTAGAAGCTGAGGTTTCCTGAAAATATGTATGAAGCTGGATAAGCTTTTAGCATCCCGCTACCACTTTCTTATCAATGTTGAATTTTATTCAGCTTCATACAGATTTTCAAGAAATATGAGCTTCTAATGTGTATTGACCAAATACACACAAGTGGGCATTAAAATCAACCCGTGCAAGCCAAGTTTCTTGCCAATTTTCTGTGTGAGACTGTCACGTGGTTACATTAATTATAAATAGCAGACACGAGTTTGCTCATTCTCTTATTTCTCTTCCCTTTTATGAAGATGTGACCTTAAGGATTTCCGTCTCGACCACATGCAGTCAGACATTAAATGCATGTATGTAATAAATTTTCCAAACTACATTACAAACATACAGAACATTTCCAAACAAGCAACAAGAACTTTTCTCTTTGAAATACTTTTCTAAAGCTACAGTTCGTTCAGCATTTCTCAGCTTTATCATTCATTCAACTTTTGTGAACTCAGATAAAAATATTTTAATCTCATTAATTCAGTCAAAGGGACATAACATCAAAATAAAACCTCTACGCATGTACATCATTACACAAAAAATAAACATAAACGTTGATGTTATAAAAGCTGTTTTTATTCCTTCTTCTTGTTTCATGTTTTGTGATATTTTATGTTGAATATAAATCGTGTGGTTATGTTAATAAACAGACATCTACAAATGGTCCATTCTTATTAACATTCTTCAACAAGCTCTTTGATCCACTTTTTGCACAGATTTGTACAAAATTCAACATTGATAAGAAGGTGCTATTGAGATGCTAAAGATTCAAGCACAAACAGGCAGTAGGGATTATAGAGTCATTGTAAAAAAAAAAAAATAAAAAAAAAAATTCATGATCCTTTTGTTGCTTCGTCAGCGCTACACGTGTTTTTGAATTCAGAGTTTAGTTTATCTCTTTTCAGACTGGCTACCAACCATGGCTAGAGTTCAGTCAACTCTTCTATTAATTAAAATTAAATTTAGTTAGCAGCTTAGAGCTGTGCGGAGGGGGGGCTCAAGACTTTCTCAAGATGTGTGTGCAACTAAAAAAGTCAATATAATGAATTCGACTGGAATTCGAACTCCGTATTATTTCTCGTTCCGAACCGCTAAACAATTTACAATCACCTGCGTATCCTAAGGCGCATAATGTTTTTACGTTTTAGTATGGGCTCTGAATACTCTTCTTGACTTGACACAATAAAACGACTGTGAGTTACAGGTGTTTGGACAGGTAATAAACAACACAACTCGATTCGTTGAATTTTTGAATTAATTCAGCTGAAACATGTATTCAGGCTGTTGAAATTTTAAATCGGTATTTTCACGAAGAATTCTTGTTAAAAGACAAATTAAAAAATAATACTTTAAACTAAGCACGATAAATGACTAATGAATGATTGATGTCCAATATTTAAAAAGAAAGCCTTGGTGTTGCAGTAAAACAAGTCAAGAACGACTAATTCTCGAATTTATCATACATTTTTTTTTATGAGTGATACTTGTAACTTGAGTAGAGAGAGTGACCCATTCATGAAAAATAAGGAAATTTTTTTTAGAAATAATTTTGGGAGATAAGCATTTACCTTCCTCAAGACAGTTTTTTTTTCTACCTTTCTTTATCATTTTAGAGAAGGTGGGCCCTGTTCCTAGTATCGATACAAAAAAAAAAAAAAAAACGATCCTTGACTTTTTACAGTTATTTGAACTTTAATTGTTCTGCGTACGAAAAGATTTTATATTTCTTCTTAATAAAGAACAAATGGATATCATTTTTAAGTAGAGAACAAAAATTAAAACAAATAAAAAAAATAAAAGTATTCATTTTACTTTTTACTTCATTTATTTTTTATTTTTGAAAAAAGAATCAGCTCATTCAATGATTGTTAATTTGTAATAATGATTTTTAAATATAGCAGTTTCAAACTGGACATTAAGTCCAGTAACTAATGTATAGTAATTAATTATAATGAATGCTAATAGTCAAATAAAAAAAATATTTTCCCTATTTTTTACGAGTGGACCAGTGCCTATTTTTATACATTTTTCCTCTTGTTAAAATAAACGCCAGTTGTAAATCGATAGAAGACGAGGAATTTATTTATTAATTAACATTTAAGAAGTAATGTTTCACAATTTTTTAAAGAAAGTTAAAACTTTTTAAAAGTTTGAATTGAATGTTTTTAAAAACAACAATAAACTTTCCGTTGAAATAACAAACCTTTCTCAATTAAAACAGATATCATTCTTTTTTTTCTTTTCTTTCTTAGACTAAAAAAGAAATCTTCTGTGATTGAAGCCAACGAAAAAAATGTTTTAAAAATAATCGCTTTTTTTAATTTACCTTTTTGTCTATTGCGATCTACATGCCTTTAAAACTTTCTGGCAGTTTGTCGAAACTCCAAGTTAGCGCGGCAGGTTAAAGTCGGTCACGTGACAAATCCCAGCAATCATTATTGTCGCGGCTCAAAAATGTCCACTCCTCTCTTCTTAGCAGCAGGAGAATAGGAAACTGCATTAAACATTTATTAATTAAACTTTATTTATATTGTATAGGGTGGCCCGAAAGTCTTGCCACCTCCACATTATATAATTTTCTATTTCAGATGGCTGACACGAGCTCCTAGTTTGGAAGCGAGGTAGGGGGTGACAAGATTTTCGGACCGCCCTATATACAATTTGAATTATTGCACGTCACCAGACTTAGTGATAAATTTAAAATTGTTAAAGAAAGACAGAACTAAGTTCGTGTCAATTTGACGTATCATTTTTTTTATTTCATTTAAATGGGTTTCAAAATAAACTATTTCACTTTTGTCTTTTGAACATTTTTTTTTACGTGAGAATTTCAGTTTGAATGACGTCGACTGTAGTGTAGTGTAGTGTATGAAGCAATGTAGGATTCGGACTAATGTCGACAATCACTAGGTTTAAGGCTTTAAGCTCTAAGCATCAATTTTCGTTATTTTATGAAAATAGATTATTTAGCTTAGCGATTGCAGGTTCTGTTTGTAGTGTAGACAAATTATTTTAAAAATTACTCTGAACACCGCTTTCGTGTTTATGCTCTTTTTTAATCGATCTCATGGAGGTACATAACAATCACTAAGTTTTCAAAAGTAGCTAAAAAAACTTAGAGTCAGAAGACTAATAATAATAAAAATACATATAGCGGTTCTCAAACTTTTTTTTTTTTAAATTCCATTATCCATAATTTGATTACTTAGTTACACATGCCTCTTATTGCCCAGAATACAAAAAAATATCTCTAGCCTATCCAATTGTTAATGAAATAAAGTCACTTCACTACTAAATTCACATAAAATAACAGATTTGTGATAATTAATAATAAAATTCGCTTAGTCATTTTTCTACAAGTTGTTAATTTTCGTTCGATGTCAATTTGCAAAAATTCAAATTACGGAAACATGGAAATCTTCAGCACAACAGGTTAAAAAAAAATCTCTAATTCTATATCATCGGATTTGTCTTCTCCAAGTTTCATGAAAAGTCTTTTACAAGCTGTCTATTACGCTTTAATTTATTTATGCATATTTTTTTGCAAGGTAGTTGACTGCTCATGTTAACGAGTCGTCATTTCGGAAACAAAACGAAAAATGTCTTTATATTAATGCAAGGGAGGGAATCCTGGTTGTCACAAAAACCTATCAAGTGATGTCTATATAATCTTTGAATTCACCTTCCTATCAGTGTCAGACAATCTTGAAACGCTATCAAACTACCCAAACATCAACAATGATGCAACTGACACAAAGTTCAGCATGCTATAAAGTTGTAGCCTCTGTTTGTTTGTTATCAAACTCCTCCTCAGATAGACCCTCATAACCCTATTCTGAAACTACATTACCCAGGGTACTTGGATAAGTATATTTCATTTTGAACAAGGGGGAGGGGGGGTTCTATTACACACACACACACACACACACACACACCTCCCACTGAATTTTCTTTTCCCTTTGATATAAATTAAATGTGAATTTGAACAAGGTAATGACTCCTATCCAAAATATAGAAGGAGAAAGCCAGAAGATGGAGATCACATTGGCAAGATCAAAATGAAACAATATGGACATCAAATTGAGCATGAAATCATCAATCAGTAGGTAGTACCTTACAATACATATTTGTTGCAACAGTTCAACTGTCATATCAATGTTGAAATCTGCTCATTAATTCATTCCATCAAGTATTGCATCAAATACATATCAAAGGGGTCAGATCAAGCTGCTTTTGCACACACCCCACTGAAAATTTTTCTCCCTTTGATTTAAATTGAATTCAAATTTAAACAAGAGAATGACTCCTATTCAAAATATAGAAGGAGAAAGCTAGAAAATAGAGGTCACATTGGGAAAATCATCAAGTAATACTGAAATGCATCATTTTTTTCCACAAATTATACTAATGAAAATCAATCATCACTTTCTTACAAAAAAATGTGTGACACAAAGCAAGGTGTGAGTAATTCAGCTAGTCCTTTATAAATGTAGCAAAGTGTAATCTGTGAAAGATGGTCCCCTAAAAGTGGACTTTCATTTTTCAGAACTCATTTAGATGTCAAAAATGACTATTGTTTATGGAACCACTCTCTAACTCACATGTCTTGAATATTTTTTAACTATGTAAATATGTACACTTTGGTTATATTACTCACCAATGTTGGAGGTCCAAAGTGAAAATTCCTGGGCTTATCCCACCTTGTCTTCCAGGATGTCTGTTAGGTGTCATTGTATTCAGAACTTTAAAAGCAAGGGACATAAACACTCACTCAATTTTTTTTTGCTCTGAGATGTAGTAGTGACAACAATGGGATTCCATCCCTGTGGGTAAAACTCTTAGTCCCCAGCCAAACCAACAACATAATTTCAAACAAACCACATGGACATCACACACACACACACACACACAGAGGTGAGTATATAAATATTTTGGCAACATTTAACCTTTGTACCTGTAAAACAACAGTAAGAAAAAAGGGATGGTTTTTCTCTTGACCTCACTTACTGTATACTGCCTTGGCAATGTTTATTGCTTTAAAAGGTTTAGAATTTTAATAACAACAAAAATATTACACACTATTTAGTTGTTAGTTTATTTGCTTACAAGATTAATTTTATATTTACAAGATTATAAAAATATGTGAATTTTAGAACTGATTGGCAATTAGCCAATGTTTTGTCAACCATTGCAATGAATGCAATTCGCTATTTTCACAAATTGCTTTAGTCAAGGTGCTTACTGTCCATTCTTTATTTAAGATTTCTTCATCAGTCATCACGTGGCTGAATGTAAATAATTTGTCATCAGATTTTCTAGGTATGCTTCATGCAAATATTCAAAAAGATTAGCAAGAATTTAAAAAATACAGTACTGCCTTGAGGTACGAGCATACCGATATACAAGTTTTTTGCTATACAAGCTGTCCTGGGCCAATTTTTTGCCTTGAGATATGAGTGAGTTTCAGTTAAACATCCGTGAGTTGGTGCAGAGAGCACCATACTTTGAGAGTATTTCTACTCACAGTACACATCTTTATCTCACCCTGGAAGGATTTCTGTTGTGTTGTGCCCTTATTTTGCAAAATTCCTTAATGATACCATGGGTGCTAAGAAAGTAAGTGTAAAGAGCAGTGGTGAAAAGCCGAAACGTATGATAAATATGAGTTAATTACTTATATATTATCCATGATATGCTAATGCTTTCCCACCACCATAAGGTTGTCTTGTGGGGCCACTCATATCATAGCAGCAGAAATAGCCTCGTGTTCACAGGAATAAGAACATACACAGAAATAACACTAAAAGCATGTTAAATTGTAAATTAAAATCATACAATTTATTGATTTTTGTGTACTGGTGTGTGTGTATTTTAGTTATAAGTGTTTTAAGGTTGCATGTGACAAAAGGAAGAAGTCATTTTGTATTATAACAAGCAAAGTCTCGAGGAGAGGAGATGGGCGTCTTGACTTTCCAACAGCAAAGAGAGTGAATTCAGTGTCTTTTGGCACAAAGTCCATTTTCAGGCAGGAAATGTTTCTGTTGCATTCTGGGAGAACTTTTCTTTTTGGCTTTATTCAATTTATTTTAAACAAAGTTTTAATGTTATTTGTTTTATTTTATTTTATTTATGATATTTATCAATATTATTTTATATTTTTATTTTTATTCATTAATAACTACCTTCAAAGCCACTTTAGTGGGTAGCATTTAAGCTAGCTCCTGTGGAGTGCTCTTGATTGGCCCTTCATCACAATAGGGAGGAACGAGTAGATGGGATAGGCCACAATAAACTACAAAAGAATTCAAAATTAATTGCTGCATTTAAGTATTGTATTAATATTGTTATATTCTGTATTTAGTTACGTGGGTGATGTGAAAACAATGTGGGCAAAATACTGCGTTTGGTTGCAAACAATGAAATTCAGAATCGAAAGAACAAGAAAGACTGTAGATATATTTTATAGTCCTTTTAGTGAGGAAAATAAGAACAAGTAAAAGGTTCGTATTTAAAAAGTTGAATGTCTATGGTAGTGGCAAGTAAAGTTCGTGGAGTTAACTTGACTTATGGAAGGGGAAAGGTACCCTTTAACAAAGCGTCGGATGAGAGTTCATTAGCAGCAGCAGTCACATGCTTTGTTAAATCCGCCGAACCCAGTGTGTCAGGAGCGAGCGATGTGACCCTTCTGCCTCCGCCGTTGAATGGGACTCCCTTTTGACTTTCCCGTGTTGAACTTATACACGCCTATCGGTTCCAAATGGCAATTTTTTGACTACGCGGGAGACGGTCCGATTGGTTGATTTAATTCTTTCATTTTTTTTTGAGTTTATCCCAAACGGAAGTATCTGCGTCGAGCCTATGCATAGACGTGCAGTTTTCATTTAGAGTCGGGGACTTGTGATGGTAACTTCCGTTTATCGAAGCAGGGCAAGATCTCATCTTGTAACAATATTTAAGCTTACCTTTTAAAAGTTCAATGATAATTCTTCTGCCACCACTTAATTTAAAGACAGTTTGATGTATATAGGTCCTTACTTTCTGTACAAACAATTATTTTTATTTCATTGGTGACTTTTGCTGAATTTTGCAATTAATTTTGATTATTCCCAAATTTATTTCCAAGTTATAAAAATTGTTATCATACAAAAAAATTTGTCACAAAAAATCACGTAAAAAAACGCTGAAAACAATCACAGTAATGAAAACATGGGAATCCAAAATTTAAGGATTGCGAGTCTGGATCTGACCCAAAATGTTTTTAATTTGCTCATGGAGTTGGTCTGATTCCAAAATGGTATTATATATTGGGCTACAGCTTCTAGGAGTAAAGTTGA